TTTAAAAGAACACTTATGAAGACAGAATATTTTCGAATTAATATAGCTCCCAAACTCTAAATTTATAAGAATAAAAATAGTTAAATGCTGGCCCAAGACTCAGATGACAGAGAGGTGGGATAGTAGAGAATACATCCCAGGCATTCAAGGGTAGATAGAAGACTTAATATCATATTTAATAAGTATGAGAAGAGATGTGACAAGAGATGGTCTTTCCTATCAGTAAATAATTAGTATTTACTATATAGTGCTGGACCAAGTAGTTAACCATTTAGAGGAAAAATATAGATGTTTGGTTTACCTTATAGTACCACCCCAAGTAATTTTCACATAGGGAACTATTTCAGTGTAAACCTGAAATACTTCCATAGGACTCCAATCAACTGTTAGGATATTTTGTTAACTTCTAGAGATAATGGAAACTTGAAGAATGTTTAAACATTTAACAATAAAGATTAGGCTTAACTTAGGCATAGTTTTTTTGTAGAATGGTATGGAAGCAGAAAGAGTGAGAAAAAAGGTAAATGGTAGTGCGGGGATGGGGGGTATGGAAAGAAGATATTAAGACTCAGATTTTTATAATTAGCAATATACATATGTGCACGACCACATAATACCAAAAATGATAAAGTATAGAAATATTAGCAGGGATGAAGCCATTAAAATTATTTGCAATTTTGTTTCTGTATTTTCATAAATAATATGCATTATTATTTTTCTGAATAAAAGTAAAAACAATAAATACTATAATTTATAAATGTTTTTAATGCTACTTGATACTCATCAATAACACTAGTTTTGTGTGATAGGCAAATTTTTATGATATGAAAAATAGTAAAATAAAATAAGTTGAAAAATTTGGTTCTTTGTTAAAGATCAGAGTTGTTCCAATTTTTAAATTGGAGCATGGAAATCTCAAGGAGAAATAGAACATCTATTTTTCTATAGCTGAAGTGTTCCCATACTAAATTATCTTTATCAAAAGATCAGTTTTGCATTTCCATAGGAGACTGACAAGAGGAGAGGGTTTCAGCAGCAGAAAATGAAAGTACAGCTAGAGACCAGGGAGAGTCTGGAAGTTAATCACTGAAGATAACTAATAACAGTTTAGTCAGTTTTAAGTACCAGTTATAACACATACTTCAAAATAATTACTCTGTAGGCTTAAACATTAGTTTGAAAATGAGTAACTATGAAATATGCAGCATAATAGCCAAATAATTATGCAACAACATATTTGATAGGTGACATACATTCTTCCAGTTCTTTATCTTTGTTGCTAGGAGGGATATTCTTATATAGCTCTACAGGGTGGGCTAAAAGTAGGTTTACACTTGTTGGTATGGCAAATAGTGAAATAATTAATAATAATATAAGAATAAATTCTGTGTTTTGTGTACTCATAACTGTAAGCCTACTTTTGCCCAACCCTGTGTTTTTATCCCATAAATGGAAACTATTTGGTCCTTTATTCTCTAGTCTAGCATCATTTCAGCGTAATGGAGAAATAAGTGTCATTGGATACAGAATGCGTGTATGATCATAAAGAGACATACAAGTCTTAAGCCAGGAGATAGTTCTTGTTTATAGGGGAAGGGATAGACCACAGATACCAGCCATTTTCAAAGGGTATGTGGTAGGGAGGAGAGAAATCTGTTTCCCCCAGATTTTCATAACTGAAATTTGGGGCAAAGTTTCAAAATGCATTTGCATTTAGGCACTTCACGATTGTGATATTTTACAGTGGCTACATAAATGAAAATTTAAGTCGAGGGCTGGGTGTATCTTTATTAGAACTCCTTCAGAGGTGGAAAGGGATTTTGGCAGGAAAGATCTGTGTAATTGCATGAAGCTTTTACATTTCCACAGATTGAAACGGATGTAAATGTGTTGACGTGCTTGGCTTTCTTCCTTTTTATCTCTTGTAGGAGAAGGTCTCTCACCATCTCTCTCTCTTACTTTCTCCCACCCTCTCTCACCCCCTCCCTTTTATTTTTCTGCCCAAAGCCTTTATTCAGTTGATATGTTATTTACCTAAAAGTTATAACATTATAACTATGAATGAATCTTAGGGAACTCTTTCTATTAATCTTGGGTTGGCCAAAAAGTTTGGGTAGTTTTTTGCATAAAATAAAAGACACATTTTTCATTTTCACTAGTAACTTCATTGATTTGGATTTTTTGAGTATGTTGGCTATCACCCATGTGGTATGATGTTGATTGTTCTCAATTAATGTCTTGGTTTGATCGCTGTCAACTTCCACTGGTCCACCCAGCCATGGAGCATCAATCAGCAAGAAATCCCAAACATGAAACTTTGCAAGCCACTTTTGACATGTTTACTCAGTCATAGCATCTTCTCCATATACTACACAAGTCTTGTGTATGTGTGTTTCAAGTGTGTTTTTACCTTTCTTGAAATAATAAAACATGTAGAAAATGTTGCATATTTTCTTCCATCTTTAGTAGTAAAATGGCTACACAAAAATTCATCAATTTTGATTTTTTTGAAAATGTATACTGATATGACACTTGTCACAATACAATCTAACAAAGTTGTTTTGAACGAAGTTAAAAACTAAGCAATACTAGAGCCATCTTATGAAGAAAAAACAAACAAACATTTTGGCCAACTCAATGTATTTAATAATCTTTAATAAGGTATTTAAATAAAATGTTTGAATGACAGCCTTAAGAGTCATGTAAAATAACTTTTAGTGAGTCAGGAACCAGTACTGTGGACAGAAGTTGGCCTGGACTCTGATAATCGATTGCCCTTGCTTGTTTTATGCTTATTATTAAAGTGTTTCAGCAACAATTCATCTAGGTATTATAGTTCAGAGTTCAGAAATTTGCATTAGGTAGTTTCAGGCTTGCACAGTGCTGGTCATATTCTACTTTCAAGTCCCAATTTCCTCTTTTGTAAAATGAGTTAATAGTAGTATAGTATAATACAGCATAGTATAGTAAAAAATATGCACTGGTGGTTAGGTTAGGTAAAATACATAAAACTTTAGTAAATGGTTAGCACATAATAAAGAGCTGAATAAAATATTTCTAAAGCAATGATGATGAAAATATGTAAACATATTTTCTTAGAATTTTGAGGGGAATGTTTGTGTTAACATGTCACAGAGAATTGGGAAATCAAATGTGGAGAATGGGTGAACTTAGTTAGGAAATCTATACTGTTCTCTATTTTGATTATCATCTCTCCCTTGTATTAAGCTGCCCACCCTGTCACAGGCATCATGAAGAGCAACGCACATTTGTATGGTGGCCCCTCAAAACAGTCTTATACTAATGATGCAGCTAAGTCATTGAGGTGAAATAACTTCACTAAAAGTAAACACTCATGAAAAAAATCAAGCTTTAATTCACATCTTGTCAACGGCAAATATCATTTTATCTCCCCTCTACCTTACTACCTCTCTAATTAAGGAGTTACTCAAGACCCATCAGGAGATTTCGACCCTTTCTTTGGACTTTGAGTCAGGGTCAGAGAACCTGCCCCTCCTGGCCTAGAGCAGAACTGCATCAGGGATGAGCTGCAAGGACTTGACTGTAATGCTGACCTAAAAAGGTTGGTGGAGAAATGTGATTCACAGAAGTGATAACTAGCTTTAAACAATGGCAAATGTGTAGACTTTAGGCATACTGCACTGGAAGGTGAAAAATAGGTTAATATGGAGTAAAGTTTTCTGGGCTGAAAGACTCAATTTGAATGTAGTTTTGACTTCTTTGGGGCAAAGAGTTGGACTGTCGGGCTTCATCTGAGCAAAAATCAAAAGTGGCCTTTAGATACTGAGAAACCCATATGATAAAGCAGGGGCAAGTCCTGGGAGATTTTGCAAACAGGATTTTGTAGGAGTTGCTCATTGTTACAGGTAGATTAATTGTAGCAATGAATGTCTACTGCATGCTTCTGTTAAAAGAAAGAACTAGGGAGGAGGTGCATTGTGAAAGTTAGACCCTCAGCCTAACTTTAGGGCTACTTTAGGGCTTCCTCTAGGTTATTTGGGATATCAGGCAAACACTTTTTTTCAGGCCCTTTTTCTATATACATAATTTGATTTTTCTAAAATCAGCATTTCAGGATTACTCAGGTAGTCGAATCTCACATAATTCTAAGAAATAAATACTGCACAAGCCAAGGGGAGTAATCTGCTTGTTGGAATCCGTGCCTGAAAACCAGCGTTCTGCTATGGGACCCTAGGGCGATTCCCACAGGCACAAGTTCTAGAATTCCTTGGAATATATGGTTAATATCATGTGAGGTTGAGTGTCGGAGAGTCTCTAAAGGGGAAGAAATAAAAATCAGAGACCCGTGTGGCTCCTCCCAGACAGGACTGCCAACCCTTTCCAGCACCCAAAGGGGAACTTAGAAAATTGTGAGAAGGTGTTCCACTGTGATAGGGCCCATGAGAAGAAGGCCTTGGGGGCAGGAAACCCCCTTGCCTGGGTCTAAGGGTGTTACTGGGCTACTTCATAATGTTCATGTGAAAAATAAAATAATGCATGTAACTTGCTTAGATATTTCCTCACAGGTGATCAGCCCTCAATCAACATTAGATGGCTAATTACATCCACCAATATCCATTAGCTGTGTCAAATAAAACAACCTCTATATGCACTCCAGTTAGGCTGTTGGGGTTTTTTGTTTCTATTAGTTTATAAGAAGTAAAGTGTGATTTAAAATGGTAGCCAGGTGATTATAAATTATTTTCTCCTAACCACCATGACTCATATGGCTCCATGCAATCCTCATTTCTTCTTCCTAAGGTGAGAAAACAAAGGGTCAGGGCACAAAAGTAGATGCTTTTGTGCTTTAAAAAAGTTGTTGGTTGCATTTCGTACAGTTGCATATAGTGTTTGCCAACACACACACACACATCATCTTTGGAACTCAGGTCCTGTATTTTGAGTAAATTGTTGTCAGTATGAATGAGTCTCTCACATCCTGATGGTGTGCTCTCACATGGTGCTTTTTGTCTTTTCAGATCCCCCAGATTAGTTATGCGTCAACGGCACCTGAGTTAAGTGATGACCGGCGCTATGACTTCTTCTCCCGGGTGGTTCCGCCTGATTCCTTCCAAGCCCAGGCCATGGTAGACATTGTGAAGGCCCTAGGCTGGAATTACGTGTCTACTCTTGCATCTGAAGGAAGTTATGGAGAGAAAGGTGTGGAATCCTTCATGCAGATTTCCAAAGAGGCAGGTAGGAAGAGATTGCAATGATCAAAATGATCCTCTTCAAATGTATGTGGCTTATAGGGTTCTTTTCAGACTTTATTGAACAAACACTATAGATGACCACTTTATACTTACTCTCACATTCCTCATTGCCTATGAAGTAGATCTGTCTTTGTTTATAGCACTTTGTTGTCTTTGAAGAGAATATTTTCAAAAGTGTGAAACTGAAGTCCCTTAAAGTATTAATAGAAGAAATGCAGAGAAGAAAGTATGGTCCCAAATCAATATCTTACTTCTGTGTAATGGGGAATAGTGTGCATTAGTACTTATATTTGGAAACCTGAGAAATTTGTAAGTACATGTGCCTCTCAATGCATGATCTTTCTTTTTTCTTCTCTAATATTGAGAGAATTGTTTATAATTATGAGAACCCAGTCACAGTGGCACTTTGGAATTGGATAATCGTGATGGTTCTGGCTGACTTGGTCAAAACAACATTAAATAAATTATTCAGGCAGTAAAATGTATTTATACAAATAGTCTTTGAAACAAGGTATTTTAAGAAAGAGAGCTCTGCTAAGTAGCACTTGGAGAGGATTCTTTTATGTTTGTTTATTTATTTCTCTCAAATTGGAAGAAATAGGCTCCAATGTTAGGCCAGTGGTCTTCAGTTGGGCAGACTTTGAAAAATTAGACAAAATCTTCATGTTTAGGAATCCTAACAATAAATATTCAGACTTCTCTATTGAAAATACTGGATGTAATAAATATATATTGTAAAATGTGTACCCAATAATTTTGTACAGTTCTTACGCCAAACTTAGGTCCTTAGTTTTGTTTGTAAGAATTTTAGCTGATCCAAATTGTTACTGATCAGAATAGTTAACTAACAGTAAAGATAGACAAGTAGGGCAATAGAAACAGAGATTCTCTTCATGAGGAAAAAGTGTCAAAATCTCAGAGATATGGCTGTGATATTGGACTCTCAGACTACAGATATACTTACGTACATACATATGGCATATTTGCACATGGCTACTGAAAGAAGAGAGTCAGGATTTGCTTGCGAATCCCATGATTTTAACTCAGAGTGCCTCATCATTAGCCCTAATTTCAGAAATTCACTGGAGATGTGAGTCATTCTTATGTTCTTCCTTCTGACTGAAATACTCTCACTGTTGATACTTCTGACGAGGTAGCTCCTACTTATGAAGAGGTCTCATCCTAAAAGTCATTTCCAGGTTGAAACAAACATACAAGCTCCAATTCCCAGGTTCTGTTGGCATGGCCTTATGTTTCCAGTGTCTTTTCCCACAGCACTCATCACATGTTAGTCTAACTTGCTGTTGATGTGTGCTTTCTTGTTCTCTAGACTCTAGAGGAGACCAAGCCTGTCTCAATTACTACTGTCGTCCCAACTGCTATGTTGCTAAGGGAAATATTTTTTAGTATAATTCAGTTGGAAAGTTTCTGATTAGAAAGAAAATTTTAACTCCAGTCTAGTGCTATGCAGAGATTTGTATGACTTACTAACAATTAGCTACATGAAGCCCTAAAAAAATAACTCATCATTTCTGATAGCTAATTCTTTTATTTCTTTCTTGTTTCTTTGAATCTTGCTTTGACAAAAATAAGGCTAGAGGTTAACTTAGAAATCTGAGCAGAAATATGAGCATAAAAGACAATAGATAAGATATGATAAAGAGAAAATAATAATTTAAAGTTCAGAGGTAAAGTTCAGATCCCTTCTTGCTCTGTTGCTGCAAATGGCTCTCCGCTTTAATGCTGAACATTGCACTGGACAAAGCAAAGAGTGCTACTCATTTTGTTATGAAATTTACAGTGTTCGTAAGATTGAAATTACGTTGACTTTTCAGTAAAGCACAGGGCCAAGGCAAATGTTTGCTCTGTGTCTTTTATAAAAGACTGTTATAGACCTTTCTGTAGAGAGGTTAGTGGTGACTTTTACATGGTGGATTTTCCTGGTGTCACTCGGTGAACAGTTAAGATATAAAATCAGAGTCTGCTATATAGTGACTCTGCAAAAAGGACAAACTCCTTGTAGTCTCTCTGCAGCTCATACTTTTAGCTAATTCTACATTGTAATGATGCAGCTCAGAAATAAATATTTTATCATTGGCAGCCATTTTGGAAAAAAGCATTTAGTCTGAGAGTCCTTCCACTTGAGGATGACAGTAACTATAACACCAGCTGTAGGGATGCAGAAAAACACAGAGCATTCAGGTAATCATGCCTAGCAGATCTGTTCCTCTTTTCCTACAAGTGTTATGATACTTGGTGTGTATTTATAATAAATTTCATTTGAACTATATCATATTGCAAGTCATTGAAATGAATGAACTCACATGCTTAGCAAACACTCCTATTTCTCCTGCTTTCCCCAAAGAAAAAGAGGAAGTAAAGAGAAGAAGGGGGAAAAAATCACAATTTAAATGGTGTATCGTAAGTAAGAGAAAACCTGAAGTGGGAAACATGATCCACTGTTTCTCTAGTCGGCTTTACTTCTGTGGGCCTCTCATAATGTGAGCATGCATATTCATGTTCCAAGACCTCTAAAAGGATTCAACTACTTCCTCTGATGTCCTCCCAAAGAAACAGTAATATAGTTTAATTTATAATAAAAAAAGAAAAAATTACTCTATTGAAATTTCTGGGAAGTGTATGGGCTTGAAATTTGGAAGGATAACTTTAAATCTTCAATATTTTCCTTTGCCTCCTTACTAGAGAAGCTGACCCTCAAAAAAGATAGTATCCCACATATATTTGTAGGAGAGACAGTGTAGCATGGAGATAAGCAAGCACCGTGGTGCTCCTTTATCCAACTCTTATAGAACAACTCAAGACAATGATGTCAGAGAAAAGAAGCCATCTTTCAATAGGGGCCATCTAATTTGTTTGGAACATGAAAGCCTACATATAGTTTTTTTTTTAACTGTTAAAGAAAATAATTCTTCTTTCATGTATAGTCATAGAAGATTTTGCCCTGGCTGGATGGCTCAACTGGATGGAATGTCATCCCATTCACCAAAATGCCATGTGTTCAATTCCCAGTCAGGGCACATATAGAGGTGGTGGGTTCAGTCCCCATTCGGGGTGCATACGGGAGGCAACCAATCTATGTTTCTCTCCTACATCAATGTTACTCTCTCTCTCCTCCTTCTCCCTCCCCCTTCCTTTCTCTCTAAAATTAAACATATCCTCAGATGAGGATTAAAAATAATAATAATAGTTCTTCATTCGAGGAAAGTCATGGGAGATATAAATATGCATGAATGCTGCTCCTTGTTGAACCTTCAAAGAAGACTGTAACATGATTTTTCTAAGATGATGAAATTATTGTAGAAGTTATATTTGCATAAATTGCCCTATTTATCTGAATGGATGAACATGCAGTATTACCAAAAGCAATTTATTACTTAATATTACAGAGAATAAGAGAATATTTACTCTAGCATGTTTTAAATTCAGGTCAATGTAATAACCTGAATAGTCTAAATTAGACATAAAGACTTGTTTTTCTAAATGAGGGTCAAAGTAAATGCTTATGATAGCATACGGCATTAATATATGCCAGATATTTTGAACCAAATTTGGTTCAAGGACACCAAACATGACTCTTATACTTTGCCAGGCAATTTTAAAGAGTATCCATCAACTATTACTTCACAAAGAGTAATAATTTGTTATCTCCATGGTATCATGACATATGTCAACTTTCCAAAGCCTAGAACATTTGAGCTATCCTTTTTGTATTCGTGGCAATTACTTAACAGATTTATTTCAATTGGTCTTATAAAGTAAATTTTATTATTATTCAGATAAACTGTAGATCTGTTTACTTGACTCTTCTTTAATTTTTGTTTATTTTTAGTTAAAGAGTTTATTTATTTTCAGAGAGAGGAGAAGAGAGGGAGAAAGAGGGAGAGAAACATTGTGTGAGAGAAACACCAATTGGTTGCCTCTTGTTCACCTCCAACTGGGGACCTGGCCTGCAACCCAGGCATGGGCCCTGACAGGGAATCAAACCTGTGACCTTTTGGTTTGCAGGCCAGTGCTCTATCCACTGAGCTACACCAGCCAGGGCTTATTTGACACTTTACATTGACCTAGAATACTCTGTTCTTAGATGAAGGCTTAATTGACTATGTAGTAACTATTATTCAGTGTCATTTTTGTGTGTGTGGGGGGGGGAATTTTAGAGTTAGTACTACTTGGATTTGCTCATTAGTGGATTCTATTCTCAAAGAATTCTGTGCTTCTCTTTCCTTCATGGATGCAATGTTCTCTTTCATTCTATTACATGTCAATCTTCCTTGCCTTGCTGTAACCTCTATGAGGTCACTTTACCTTGTGACTCTGTTATGTAGCCTCATTTGGGGCATATAGAAAGTATTCAATAAATATTTGTTAAAGGAAGGAGAGAAAAAAGAATTATATTTTTCCCTTCACCTTTCAGGGAAAAAACCTGTAGATAAATTTTATATAATTTTTATGATATATAATTTGTGACTTGTGGATCAAAAAATTATATTCTATATCTATTTGCTATGGTTTATTATAGTTGTCCTCACTCTGAATCATTACACTGTTGCCTGTTACTAACTCCACAGAAAACTTAAAGCAATAGGATAAGACAGGTACGTACTTTCCAATACCACCATCTGTGTTGAGCTTGAGGAGTTTTCCTTTTTCTTTGTCTCTGTCTGTTTTATAGTGAATACAGAAAACTATGAGACATTTTAATATGCAGTTGGAGTATTTCTTTAATGGAGTGTTCAGTGGTCCCTGTTTATGCATATGTATTAAAAATTCAAGGACTTAATTTCAAAATACAAAATCACAAGAATTCTCACATCCCTGACTTAGTGGTCTAATTTTAGATTGTGGTGTGTACATTTGTCTTTTTTTTAACAGCACATTTTTAGTTCATTGCTATGAACAAATTAATGGAGAATGGTTGACTGTACAAGTCTTGATGAGAGAACAGGCCTCGGTATCATTGTA